CATCATCACCACCACCATAGTTATCACTACCATCACCATCACCACCACAATCACTCTCATCACAATCACATCACCATCACCATAGTCATCATCACCATCATCACCACCGCCAACACCATCATAATCACCATCATCATCACCACTACCATAGTCATCACTACCAGCACCATCAGCACCACCATCAGCACCATCATCATAATCACCATCACCACTATCATCATCATCACTACCATAGTCATCACCACAAGCACTAGCACCACCAACACCATCATCACAATCACCACCATTACCATCACCACCACCGTCAACCATGAGCCATGCCATCCACAGACGGCCCACCATGACTTAGTCATGTACCTCCTCCTGGTGCACTAAGGAACAGTCAGTCACACATTCTTCCTGCTGTCACAAGACAAGACACTGTTCCTTGACTGGGGTTCCCAGACCAGGAACAAGACATCTGGCTTTAGCTGTCCCAAGCTGAATCTGTCTCCCATGATTCAAGAATCCATATAAGTAATACTTATGAAGGGGAGAGAAGATGGCAGTAGAGAAAGCAAGGCCACAGAGAGCACAGAGATAAAAGCCTGGCAGGAGGGTTGACTGCAGGATTCAGAAGACAGAGACTCAAGCTCCATCACAGTAAAAAGGTGGCCATGACTGCAAATCAGGGGGAGAGCCTTGGGAGAAACTGAGTCAGTTGGAACCTTGAACTTGGACTTGCAGACCCAGAACTTTGAGCAATAGATTACCATTGCATAAACCCTTTGGTCTGTGGTCATTAGTTATGGCCGACCGACAGCCCCATCCCAGGACTGGCACGATGTTATACAAGTCACTGGCAGGGATGAGCCTGGCATGCAAGAAGGCCTGAGTTCAGTCCCCAGCAGCATGTGACCCAGGCATGTGCACACCCGTACCCCCAGCTTTCAGGAGGACCACAAGCTCAAGGTCAGCCTGGGCTATGTGAGCTCTTGTCTCACATAGAGTCACTCAAGTGTCAAATGACTTCAGCTCTGTGAGCCATGGGGTGTAGAACTGCTCGATTAGCCCATGGGAGTGTCAGTGTTGATATAGAGTTATGGATGTCCTAAGTGGATGGCCGTAGCTGTGTTACAAGCAAACAAACAACAGAGAGTAGCTGTATCCAAAAAGAAGCTAGATCCTCGGCTTAAAACAGCAATCCATTTCATTCAGAGACAAATATGATGAGATTGGAACAGGAGGATTCTCTCTCAGGATGGTGTGTGTGCATGGCTCTTCCCAGATACTACTTCTGAGAATCCCTTTCTCCTTTCCTTCCTTCCTTCCTTCCTTCCTTCCTTCCTTCCTTCCTTCCTTCCTTCCTTCCTTCCCTCCTTCCTTCTTTCTCTTCTTTCTTTCTTTCTTTCTTTCTTTCTTTCTTTCTTTCTTCTCTCTCTCTCTATCTATTTATTTATTTCTGCCTACACCATCTGTGCTTCCTTACAGCATGGCAACTGCCCCAAGATCCAGCAGCATTCCAGGAGTTCCAGGCTGCCACTAGCCGCTCATGAGCTAAATTCTGTTGCACTTGCAAGCCAGTCAGAGTTCAGGAAACAGGCAGGCAGAGTCCACCTAGAGGTGGGAGGAGAGTTGACCGTACACATACCTGTGGGAGACTTTGCTTTGCAGGGTGGGGAGTGTGAGCAAGGTAAATACAGGTCAGACTAGATGGTAGCTGAGTTCTTGTCTAAAATATTTGTGTTTTTATATATATATTGTGTGTATGTGTGTGTGTGTGTGTGTGTGTGTGTGTGTGTGTATGTATACCATATGTATGCAGTGCCTATGGGGACCAGAAGAGGGCGTCTGATTCCTTGGAACTGGTGTTAAAGTTGATTGTGAGTCATCCAGCAAAGACACTGCAAACTCAACCTGGTTGCTCTGCAAGAGGAACAAGTGACCCTAACCTCTGAACCATCTCCCCAGGCCTGAGATACTGTGTTTTATAATTGCTTTCTTGACAGTGTGAAATGATTTCCACGCAGTTCTCAGTTCTGCCTCAATTAACACCTTCTTCTTGGGATGAGCAAGTAATGGGGATTGGACCAGAGGCCTCCTGCCCCTGTGCTAATCCCTCAGTCCGTGGGCTGGGCTCTTTGAAGGAGACAAGCAGGCTCATGTGGGGATTGGGGGGGGGCTTTGTCTACATAGAGGAGTCGGGGTGTCCCCCCCACTACGTGTTACAATCAGAAAACATTCTGGGCATTGGGGAGAGACCATCAAACCACAAATAATCATATCGGAGGCTAGAGAGTGCTGGGACCTCAACGGTAATTATTTTCCCATTAGCAAAGCTCTCACCCAGGAGAGCCAGCCGGTCTTCTAGACGAGGAGAGCATGCGATTCCACATGAGATCAGTGAGGCAAGGTTTCCAGCCAAGCCCAGTCCGTGGAGGACTGAGCCGGTAGCTCAGGGGTAGAGCACTTGCTTACCGCACATGAAGCCACACAGGCCCTGGCTTCATCCCCAGTGAGAGGCTGCAGAATCCTGCTTGCGAGGGCAGCTTTGCCTCTTCCTTGGCTCTTGTTTTAAGTTGCTGGGTGGTACTGTGTTTAAATCACTTTGGCAAAATTCCTCTTAAATGCAATCAATACCTCCAGCCCTACTTTATGGAGCAAATGGTTCCAAACTGCACCAACACGCCTCAGATATCTGTACTCCAGAGACTACAGCAGGTCACACTGCCTGAACAACCCTGGCAGTGGGAGATGAGAGGGGGAGTTCAGGGGAGGGTGGGCAGAATGGCAGAGAGCAAAAGGCATGCATGACTGGGGTAGCAGTACCCAGTATCTGGCTGGAGGCCATCACCACTTCCCAGAGGGATGTGTTCGCCATGCAGTGCTGTGCAAGCGAGGGCTGCCGAGTCAGCAAAAGGGGGCAGGAAATAAAATGGAAGATGCAGTGTGTTGCCAGGCATGGTTTATTCCGACAGTGTAGGGGAAGGGGCAGGTTGAGAGCTGGGCATTCCTATGACATCCCAGTGACTGTCCTACTTCCTCATACTTACTAGATGCTGGACACTTGGTCCTTGGATCCTCACTGCTGTTAACCCCATTTTATAGGTCAGGCAACTGAGCTCGGAGACGTGAAGTGGCTACCCAAAGCCACACAGCCTGGGAACTGAAATCAGGATGTGAACCCTGGCCTAAAGAAGATGACTCTGTGGCCCATTTGACGGCCCACTCACAATCAGTGGTTTTCATTTACACCTAAAAGACTCAATATACTGTTTCACACTGCTTTGAGATCAACACATTAAAACGCACAGAAGCAAAGTGAGTCTGAGGATGCCTCAAGCTGTCTGTGCCCCCCAGGTGTACGGCAGGCAGAGAGGTGTGTTGCTTGATGGCGGCTGTGTGCCAGCTTCCAGTAATGTCCAACATTATGCACCCAGCAGTCCACCACAGGCATTTGGGGGGGCCATCTGAAGGGGAACCCTGAGTCAGGGACCGGAGTGACTGGAAACCCTGGACACAGGACAGGAACTGGCAGCTTCCCAAAGTCTTTGGTGGGAAGAGAGGAGCCTGCGGCTTGACTGGTGGTCTTTAAAGAGACCTAAGACAAGGGGTCAGTGTTGAGGTTGAAATCTGGGATTCTGGAAACGCCCCAGTGATACTAAGTCCCTGCAGGCTCAGGCTACTTTCCCAGTAGGGACCCTGGCTAGCTGCAGGGGCCATCCTGTACCTCTGCTGCTCTCAGACTGGGCTATGATTCTGGGCTTACTGGGCCACCAGTCACCACCAGCCCCCCCTAGCCCCGACCCTGTGAAGCTGTGAAGCCATACGGACCCCGCCCCCACCCCTCCCCGCCTCCTCAACCCACTGCACCATCCGCTGCCATTCCCTGTATGCATCCTGGGAGGGAAGGGGATGTGGGCTCCTGTCTTCGGATTGATGGTCCAGGAAATGCACTTTTCAATTAGTCCCAGGACGCTGAGGTCCAAGAATCAGACAGCATCTCTTGGTGGGGGTGGATAATAAGTGGGGAGAGAGAGAGAGAGACCTAGTTACCATGGAGTGGCGACCCCAACAAGCAATCACTTCTGAAGTTGGGGGATACCTGTTGGCCAGGGCGCACAGGCTTTTGGGTGGCTTTGCTCTAAGATGCAAACGTGTGGCCCAACTTTCTATTAATTTTTAGAGGGGGCTAAAGGCTATCCGCTGGAGGTGTGCTTTCCGAGGCGAGCACCTCCCCGGAGACCCCCAGCAGCCCTGAAGGAGGAAGCAGGGAGTGGTGTCACAGGGCTAAACCACCTGTGGTTTGCAGGAGCCTCGCAGTCAAGTCGTGGCCGTCGCGGACCGCTGTGCGGGTGTCCCTGGAGCTGGCGAGGTGGGGACCGCGCGGTCCTCCACTGCCTCCTGCGCCCGCGACTCCTCCCGGCTCCCGACCGTGGCGTGCGCTCTTGGTGCCCGGTTCCTTCCCGTTACGCAGTTCCTGTCCCTTTAAATCCCAGTCCCTGCCAGCGGAGGCTGGGGCGCGCGGGCCGGACCCCGGGCCAGGGGAGGGGCAGGGCGCCCCGGGGTCCCCGCGTGCGCGCGCGCGGCCGCCAGCGCCCCT